TAACGCCTCTGGTGTTCCAGGTGTCGATGTACGACGCTGATTGCTTACCATCAGGTGATCCGTGTGTTCGTTTACAGGCTTATTCCATAAAAAAATGCAGTACGTTGAATTAAAATGAATTGACCTTAAAGTTCTTCTAACTCCTTTGTAAAATGTTCTGTTCTTGAGTTATTGTTTTTGCTGTTTCTAAAGTATTGTAAAAAATTAAGTAAGCAACTGTTGATGGCAGCCATAAGACGGTATTTTATAGAAATGATAATAATAAAGATGTATTACAACAAAACCCGAAAACTGGACCAACGTAATACGAAGTACACTGAAACAAATAGTAGGTACTTATTTAAATTAAATAAATACATATGAAAAGACACATCTTAAATAAACGTTGCAAAATAATTTCGTTGAACTGAAATTATATCATTCCACCTACAACACTGCTTACCCACTTGACAATCTAGTACACAGTACAGGAATCAGTTTTAGCAGACTATAAATCCATAAAGAATTCGCCTAAATCTGAGAAAACATGTTAGGTTGTCCCCGTTTGAGCGATTAGTCGGTGCGATTGTTGTTGAATGTGTAGTGGAAATACTAATTATTACGTCGATTGTTAAATTTTCTTCGAATTAACGTGAAAACTACAATGCTTAAATACGTAAAAGATATGGATCCCGAATCAAGCAAAAATTTTGAAATATAGGTACTTAAGTAGCTACAAATAATTAAAGTAAAATTTCAGTAATAGCCACAAAAACGGGCGAGCAATATTTTATCGTCCAGCATAGGACGAACGTCATTTGTTAAAAAACTATGCGTATATTGATATAATTTAATAATCAAATTGGGATGATGACAGGGTATGAAAATAAAAAATTTAGTTAGGTAATGAAAAAATATTAGACACATTTTTTTTATCGTATTATAAAACAATACTTTGATAAAACGAATCAAAGTTTACGAGTGGGAGCTAAAACGTCATTTCTACGTATAAAATGTTCATAGAAGTGACGTCACGCGACATTTCAAATCAATATATCGTTGAAAGTATTCGTTTCTTTAAAAATAAAACGTGTCTAATGATTTAAAATAATATACGAGACGGACGTTAAAATAAAAATTAGGCATCTACCTTATTAGGTGAGATGTATTGCGTTATTTGTAAACTAATAATCGCAGTGTTGCGACAAAATAATCGCAACGCGCGACAGAAACATAAAGCTAATTAAATTAAACGCTGGCTGACCTACAATGAGATGAAAACAATTTATTCGCAATAATAATAAGACGACTGCATTGCGTTTATACTAGCTCTGTGGCCGGATTTACTTGTAAACTAATATATTTTGTGACACACCTACAACTACATAGTTGCTGTAGAAACAAGGCAACTGGATGTTGCGCAACTTATTGCGGATTCGATACCCGAACCTTTTTTATCACCCAACAATTGAAGTCTACAAAAAAAATCAATAAGATTATAGTTGTAATATGTATTTAGTTTTGAACAAAGGTACTTTTATCATATAAGTAATTTAATTTATAATTTTGATATTAGTTTAGTTATGTAATTTAAACTGTCAAACACCAAGCGGTCACCGGTGACCGCAACCTATTGTTCTATAATTGTGTATACAAAACCGGTACTCGACGAGTTAATAGTCTGTAACAAATAAAAGAAGGACAAAAAAATATTGTTTATTACGCCACGACACACAAGCGAAGCGAAGAAGACGACAATGTACCTAGAACACATAAAAAGAAGTTCATGGTGCGTCGCAGCGCAAAAGGCTGGAGCTCAGCTTAATGCTGTAGCCCAAGCACGAAGACTCAAGTCCACAGCGCTGATTTGCAGCGCAATGAATAACAATGCAATAAAAAAAAAACAATAAAAAAAGATCTGTAATTCTGTCAAAAACTATTCAATATACGGACACGTCTTCCCTACAATATTTTTATCGAGGTTTATATTTATACTATAAAATAATTATGTAGGTACCGTAAATTATTCTTATACACGGCAATGTCTAATCTATGATTCGCGAACTACATTTCATATTCTGTCACTTAGATTATGAAATAAAAATTATAATAACATAATTTTACTTTTTATCACAATCATGTCAAAATTGAGGCAGCAATTTTTCATTTGTGAGTTCATCAACAAATAAAATCGTAATATTTATACAACTTTCATTAATCGAGTAGTGAGAAAAGCTCTACTAGTTTCGGGTTACAGTGGGACTCTTCCTCACGAGCAGCATGCGAGCACACAGTGACGTCACGCAACCTACTCCTATTTATTACTATCACAGTAAAGGAGTGATGAAAACCGACATGAAACTACGCTTGCAACGTTTCATCGTGTGAGTGAGGTTACCGCCTCCTTTTTCGCCTTTTTCGCAATGGTATCAATCCCCCACAATTCTATTTATCTCCAACAATTATCTAATCGCACTTGTAAGGAATCTGGTGTTATAGGCATCTGGTGGCACCGATAGCTCACATCAGGTGATCCGTCTGCTCGTTTACAGGTTCATCTCATAAAAAACACACAATAATACTTGCAGTGTTCTCCTAAGATTCGCTCACTAGTTACACATCAATGCACAACATCCCTAGCTCCCAGTTGGATCGGCTCCAATAACCTTGTCATGCTAGTATGACTCACAATGTACCGGCGACATGTTGCACACTTACACTACAGCGTATGATCTTCTTAATAGAAGCGTTTTCATTATTAAAATCGGTTTTACTATCGCCATGGTGGTGGCAGGACATCTATCAAGTCATCATTATCAACAGCCTATAAATGGCCACTGCTGAGCAAAGCCTCTTCTCACACGGAGAAGGTTTGATGCATTAATCACCACGCTTGCTCATTGCGGGTCGGCGATTTCCAACTTATAATTAGAAATTATAAGTCTAGGTTTCCTTACGATCACGATCTTTTCCTTCACCGTTTGTCAATGCTGTCTAAATAATCTTAAAAAGTACCTACATATAACTCGGAAAAAGTCACATTGGTACTTGTCGTTGCTAGGTTTCGAACCCGCATTCGCATGCATGAGAAGCGGGGTTCTTAATCTCCGGGCCACCACGACATATAATACATCTATCAAATAATAATATAAATAGCATAGTCATAATATCAGTCTAAATAGCTGTAGGCTTTGAAGTTTTATAGTGAAAAGCTGATTTAGAATTCGGTTTTCTACTATAAGGTTATTAAAAGCTAATTTCATTAACCTATCTTAGACCAAAATTACTGTATCAGTCTTTTTTGACAGAAACTCTTGGGAAGCAATGGCAAAAATTGATATACTTATATATATATTTTTTTTATTTCTGTTGCTGAAATCGGCTGTACATATCTAGTCACCGATTGATGTTAATATCATAATGATAAAGATTATCTTATGATTACACAAATGAGTAACATTTTTTTTTTAATAACGCCGTTGTTCACAGTAGGATATTCTCCAGTGTCATGGGTGCATTTGCAAACTTATAAGTTCACATACACATGACACCCAGATCCACAACAGTTGATGGATTACACAAAGAGTTTCTCCATGCAGGAATTGAACGCACTACACGTTGCGCGGCAGTCGATTACCTAGCCACCGCGCCAACCGTGGAGTTTTAAAAGATTTCATTATTAAGTACCGCTAGAAATGCTTACGCAGCTTCAGTATGAAATCGAATCATATCAAATCCAACAAAAAAGAAAGACTTCTGTCACCATCATATAACAAGCTCTCACTAATTGCAAATCCAAGCAAATTAAACCCGTTGACAAAGGCAAATCAAACAAAAAGGTAAGACTTCCATCTTGGGTGGTAATGTCAAGATCAAAAGACGTAAGATGGACAAAGAGACTGTCCTCTTGGATTAGAGGATTTCTATCATTATAAACAACCGATATGACAGTTGTAATGATGAGATTGTACCGTACTATGGAGTTGTAAAGTCGATTCAAAGTTATCGAGAATTGAAAATGCAAAATTTAAAAGTGGATAGAAATAATATTTCATTTCTCCTACACTTCAATCCCATTTTTCTTAGATGGTTCATAAATGTTTCCATTGTAGAGAATTTAAGGGCATTATCCATGTTGGAAAGAAGATCACTGTGTAACCAATTTAAGTAAAACGACTGACAACAAAACATTACGATATCTATCTATGCTAAAAACTGAATAAAAAGCCCTGACTAAAACCATCACAATACTTAAAACAAAAGACAACTAAACGTGCATAAAGTACTATAGCATTTGCCATTAAGAGTAAACAATAGCACAGTAAATAAATAAGCTACTTTATTATATTACTAAAAGCGAAAATCTTAGTAATATCCCTGGACATATTCCAAAACGGCCAAATCGTACTATTAAAGAGAACTAACCTAATTTTAACCGACTGAATTGTTTTCAACATCCAATTAACAAGTCTTCATTTAAACGCATTCACTCATATATGAAATATAATCACACCACCCACTCATAATTTCTCTATAAAATTTTAATTAGTCCATATTTAGTCACATTGAAGATCCTACCCAGAATTTGGATAGATAAATCCTTTCCTAGGTCTCCAGTAGTCCATGTTTCGTGGAATAATCCATAATTTCTAAGTTTGAATGTTGTTGAATTCCAAACTGATGGATTTAGAGTTTCCGTAACTTGTTGGTATTTGTTTTCTGTACCTGGCGCAATTAATATTTGTTGCAGTGATTTGTAGTGACGAGTGATCAGAAGTGCAACTGCTGAGCCTTGTGATGTGATTTCTAGCTGTGCAACTGCATTTTTCTATTATAGACATCTAATTTTGTGACGATAGCTCTGCGTTTATAATTTCTAAAATAAGCTCACTCAACATTTTTAAGTGCTTACTTAATTAATCCACGAAAATAATTCCGCCATATAGGGGAAGGTAGGGTAAAGTGGATACCTTAAGGTATTTAGGGTTATAGCAGAAAAGGTATACAATACAAAAACAAAATAAGTATCACAAATCAGTCTTTATTTATTGCTCTTACAAATACGAACATCAGTTACCATTAATATTTAAACAATAATTAACTGCAATTAAATTTTCAAAAAGTACGAAAGTATTCGCTTTACCCGGTACCCCGGGTAAAGCGAACACAGTCCTTGGGCAAAGTGAATACCCATGTTTAATCTCTGAAAACATAGAAATAACTTTGATAAAAAAAAAAAAAAAAATTAACTTGACCATAAAATTAAAAAATTAAGATTGGCAATTGTCACAGGTATAACCCTGATTGCCATCAAAAGCTGAACAAGCTTCGTGACACCATTGTTGACAAGTGTCACATTGAATCCAATCTTCAATTGGTTTACCGTCTTCTTCAATATATAATTCACCGCAGAAAAAGCATAAAATATCCTTAAATTCTTCCATTTGCTTTGGCTGTTTAACCTTTTTAGCATTTTTTTTGTCTTTGTCAGTCTTTGTATTAGTCTTCTTTGGAACATTTTTTGACTTATCATCCAGTCTTTTAGTAACACTCTTAACTTTATTTTTCTCATATTTTTGCTTTTGATCTTCCTTGATCGGGGTACTGTTCGAATCGCCCAAGTTTTGAAGCAGCGATGCCGGTTTTTACATGCCTATACAAGGTTGCATAAGCCAAACCATACTTTTTAGCTGTGCTTTTTATTGATTCTCCAGCTTTGCACAAATTAATAGCCGTTTGCATAGCATTTTCATCCCACGTCCCTTGCTTAGTTTTTTTTTATATTTATTCACCATCTGAAACAAATAAAAGACATTCTGAGATAATAAGTCACTAATGAGAAATGGCGGGCAAAGTGGATACCATATCCACTTTACCCTATTCACTTTGCCCGACTAGGTAAATTTTGAGGTTAACACATTTCATACAAAAACTAACAATTTTAACTTTCTGTCAAATATACCATAAAAACCTACTTTAATATGCTACCGAATTAAGACATTTCTAAAAACCAAGAACTAGTAATACTGGAGAATTAATCAATGTACTTACCGCGTAAAATCAATCTTTTATCTACGAAAACACAAATCTTCACTCCACGAACGGAATGCGACGTGGCCTCTCGCTTTGAAATTTGCCGCGTACTAAACCAAGATGGCCGAACATAACAGCGGTGGCGTGTTGAATGACAAACTAATAATTTAGGAGTAGTGGGGAGTATTCGCTTTGCCCGGGGTATTCACTTTGCCCAGCCTTCCCCTAAAGTTATTTGAAACCGCGTATAGATACAAGAATGGAAAACTAGTGGTATTCTCTAACAAAAAAAAAACTTATAACACAAATACATTACACACAAATCTCAAAAATAAAAACCAATAACAATTACACGACAAATCAATACATCTCGCATTGAACACAATAAAAAACAATACAACAAAAGTCAAATTCGAACCGCAGAAACACAACACTGACTGCAAACGTTTGCAATAAAGTTGTACCATCGACGGTCATAAAGCAATGCGCACAGCACGCACCCCGGCTATCTCATGTCTTAATTTGTAAGAGAGACCAAAACAATATAAATAATATAAAAACAATGAATACAGTGACAACGATGTGGGATTGTGTGGGGATAGACTTGGGTATGGGGAGATACGGATTGTGAAGATGGTAATGGGGAATATGTTGTAATAGAAGGTGATTTTTGGACAAGTCTTTTTTGCTAGCTATGCCATTTTGAGAGAAATGATTTTTAAAAAAATGTTCTTTCACAGATGAGGCCCAATAGGACTAATGTCAGGGCTTAATGGGTTGCCGGGGCTCAGGTTCGGACTGCAGGAGTACAAACGAAGTGGTTTTTAGAAGAGTCTAAGTCACTCCCTCTCGCTTCATCCGGGAGGGGGAAGTCATCGCACGATTTTCAAAATAAAAATGGTGGCTACAAAACTTACAGCTCTTATTGATGCTAAGGACGTCTCAGAGGTGTCACTAATGCGTTGCCGACTATGTAAAAAACTGTTTAATTGTGCCATTGTTTTCGAAGAGTGGAAGCTCCCAGAAATCGATGTTTTAAAAAATAAAAAGGCGTTTGCAGAAGAAAAGAACATACTAAAGGGTCAATAAAAAAAAATAGTTTTAAGTTCCCTTTTATGTCGTTTCAACAAAAAAAAAGTTCAGATTGACATACATACAACACAATATTTTCCATGTCCAAATCTGTTCGCTTCATAACCCGCGCGTACGCACGCAGCGGCGAGTTTGGCGTTTAACAGAAAAATCTAAAATCATAAAGCACTACAAACTTGTCATATCGGGTTGCGATTGCTGCCTGCATGCTAATGCAGCCTTCTACATGGCTGTTCACCTGTCCATGTTGCTAGGGGATTGTGGTCTCTATGTTAATGTGGTTAAGGTTGGATGGTGATGTTGTGATTGGTTTCTTGATACTGATTCTCAGTATTGAGGGTCTTGGATTTATCTGGCTGTTTGGTAGAATAAGGTTGAATTGTTTTGGTAAGTGTAAATATGTAGGATTGTTTATTAATAATTCAAAAGTGTATACTAATAAGGATAGTGTAATAGGTGGTAAAAAGTACCTATCATAGTCTCAGATTCTGAATGTAAAGTCTCAGTTTCTAAATCGATTATGATCCAAAATGAAGAGATTAATGAATTTTAATCATGAATCAATGAACATGGATCTAAGAAATATCTAATAATATAAGAATATCTATATCTATAAGAATATCTATATCTAATACAAAAGGCACTATCTAAAAAAAATATTTATTTACAGAAAATTAAACAAACAGAAATCAAAACCGACCGAAAAACAAAACTCACCAAATAACCGAGTAATCAATACAGTCAAATAAATAACCAAAGAATTGTAAATATGATACACAACACAGTGTCAAAACCTCACATTCCAATACGCCATTAATTTTAAATCGGTACACAATTAACAAGTCATGTTCCCTACTTTATTAACGAACAAATGTATGAATATCAATAAAGTGCGCAAGCGCCGACGTTTAATATTTCGCTATAAGATGCCACAGATAAGGAAGATTTGTGGAGAAACTATTTATTGTGGCTGTGGAAGGTTGTGTACGGATAGTCTTTTGTTTTAGGAGGTACGGAAGTCTTCTCTGGGTAGTATTTTTATTATTGGCGTATAATGCAGTAGATAAATCTGTTATCCTGATAAAGTAAGGACAAATTCAAAACCATTCATTCATCCAATGAAGATTTCTTTCAATTTTTCCCTTAAGCAAGATTAAAAAAAATGTGATTTAAAAAAGAATTCGACCTCTACGCTCTATTAGCTATCGTTAAAACTTGTAGTGCTTCTTTTCCTTCCATTATGTTACTATCCACCAAATAAATAAATCCAAAAAAGTATCTCGAATCCCAATTGCGACATTTTGAGCCACCTAGATAAAATTATGGTTATACAGTAACAGTCGGGTAATATTAATGGCCAAAACGAGTATTGTGTTTAGCATTCACAGCGTTTGTTCGTTGCTCGGTCACCTTTCATCTTGCTGATAAACATCTTATGCGTGTGCGCATATGAAACAAGTAGATATGGGAAATTGAGGATGGGGCTTGGAAAGTATGGTTTATTTCGTTAGAGTTTATGGTAGATGAAATGTTAATATAAGATATTAATTATATTGTCCTCAGTATACAGAAAGAAGGTGACTGCTGAACATGAGCCTCTTCTCAAACGGACATTCGAATCACTCGATGGTAAGCGATCAGCTCGATGAACAACTGCTATTCCAGAGGAGTCACTAATCACCAGTGTGTTGCTGATCTTTCAAAAAAGGAGTGCGAAACTTTCTTTTAAGTTTAAAGGGCATATCGTTTTGGAAATATCTCAGGAGACTGTAGACAGTATCAGGAATAATTACGTCTTAATCATTCCTATAAGATACTGACTGATTGCACGATTGGTGCGGTGGCTGGGCAAACGGCTGCTATGCCATGGGGTATTCTACACTGCCGCGGGCTTAATGTAACTCTTTGTGTGATCCACAAATTGTTGTTTCGGGTCTGGGTGTCATGGGTATGTGAATTTGTATATTTGTAAATACAACAACTTAACAACTGACTGAAAGACAATGTGTGTTGATTAGCCAGCTTCAATCAATTTGATTTAATTAGCAAATCACAAATTACAGATTAAAGTCATGGTATCAGTGTTCATTTGTTATATCTATATTTAGTTTTTCTTGTGCAGTCTATTCTAACATAATTACATTTAAGTTATTTAAGTTATTTCATATAGTTTAGGCAAGCGAAGACATTTCATATTGTTATTCTAACTATTGACATTAATTAGTGAGTGGGTATTTTTGATCTCATTAGATTAGATTCACATCTATAAGAAATAATCACTTATTTGACTATTTGATGTCTAATATTGGAACTTTTAATTACCTTTGGGATTATATACAAAGATTATTTCATTTAATTTCTAATTTTAAATAGACCTTATTTTATGAATTGTTCATCCAAAATTGTTTATCAATACATAGTATAAAACAAAGTCGCTTTCGCTGTATGTCCGTATGTATGCTTAGATCTTTAAAACTACGCAACGGATTTTGATGCGGTTTTTTTTAATAGATAGAGTGATTCATAAGGAAGGTTTGTATGTTACATTATAATACATTCATATTGCACCCGTGCGAAGCCGGGGCGGGTCGCTAGTGTTTAATTTTTTTTTTTTATTTGACTTGTTTTGCATTGTTATGTTATGATTTGGATTTTTGATATTGTATTTCTTTTGTATTTGCTTGACATTTCTGTAATTTAATTTAATCTAATTTCATTCAATTGCTATAAATGTTTGTATGGGCATGCATGATGTGATTCCCTTTAATTGAAGGATCACAAGGTTATTGTAACGTGTGGTGGATTATTTTTTTGCATGTAAGTGTATCTTTTGTTGGGAGTCCAAATAAATAAAACATAAAACATAAAACATAAATGCACCCACGACACATGAAAAAGTACTAGTGTGGGGCAACGTTCTTTTTTTTAAAAAAAAGCTTTATTAGAAACGTGTATTCACCACAAGAAATATCAAAAAGCTCTATGTCACAAATAGAAAATCGGAACTCTAAAAGAAAATCAACACCAAATAAATCAAAATTCAATATACCAACAAACAAACCAGTTTCACCCATCTCACTCACCAGTGTGAACAGATTCAGAACCGTATCGTTTGCCCAAACTCATAACTTGTTAATTTATGTCTTACTTTATGGAGGCTCCTGTATCGTATTGTGTTACAAAAAGCCTTTGTTTATGAGCACCTTCGATTGCTGATGCATCGGTCTTGGAGCTAGGGATCCGTGGAGGTAGGTTTCTTTTGTTTGTTGGTGTTTTTTTTTTTATTAAACTGTGTTAATAATGACAATACTATCGGTGTGTGTTAGCGAAAGTTCCAGTTGGATACAAAAGGTTAAGTGGTTGAAGTAATTTTCAGTATTTTACTAAAATTATCTGACTTCAAACTTTTATAGTCATTTTGAATGTGTATCCTTGTGGCTAAGGACAGATTCTACATTCTCTACACTGTTGGCGGTTTAAATAAATTACAAGGCAATACAAACAATACTTTGCCTAATAGGTACTGAATTAGAAGATCAGGTTTCTAAAAAAGTATTTCACAATCAAGATTTTTCTGTCTACCTCAATGTCGGTTGTGGAAGAAAATCAAACAACAATAACCTAAATCTTCTTGTCAACTCCATCTAAGATCAGCTCACCGACTCATAAAATAAAACTAAAGTTATGAACAACGTTCACTATAATAAAGAAATGAGGAAACCAGATCTTTTGCAGACAGCTTTAGTGATATTTGTCGATCACACCTTTTCCTTATGAGGGATAATCCAAATGGACCTTTGATTCTCATGATATAAAATTTTTTATAGCCAGTTTTATGATCATGAGCCTTAATTATGCAACACTACTGCTGGCATATGGGTTTTTTTCTTTTCACTTTGAACTCGTGTTGGAGATTGCAGCTTAAAGATTTATCAGAGACCACTGCTGCCCAAGCTTCAAGCGCTGCTGCCCAGTCTCTTTCAAATGTGCCATCCTGTAATTGACTCTTACGAAGCCCGTGGAAAGCGAAAGCGTGGACGAAATGATGTACCTATTCTATTCTTACTCACTAGGAAAATGTATGCAACATATTAAGTGTGGGAAAGCCATGCTTCGACACGAATGGGCCG